GAGGCTGAGGCAGGAGAATTGCCTGAACCCGGGAGGCGGAGGTTGCGGTGAGCCGAGATCGCGCCATTGCACTCCAGCCTGGGTAACAAGAGCGAAACTCCGTCTCAAAAAAAAAAAGAAAAATTTATTTGAGACAGGGTCTTGCTCTGCTTCCCAGGCTGGAGTGCAGTGGCACAATTGTACCTCACTGTAGCTTTGACCCGAGTAGCTAGGACTTTAAGCGTGTGCCACTACATCTGACTAATTTTTAAAATTTTTGTAGAGATGAGATCTCGCTCTGTTGCCCACGCTGGTCTTGAACTCCTGAGCTCAAGTGATCCTCCTGCCTCAGCCTCCTACTTTTTTTCTTTCAGTTTTAATTTTTCATATAGCATTTTTAAAACTTAAGGAAATTTTCAAACTTACCCAAAGGTAGAGAGAACTGTATGATAAATCCCATGTTTCATCTATTTTTACTAGTTATCAACATTTGGCCAGACTTGTTTTATTTATTCCAGCCTCCTGCCTTTTTTTTTTACTGGAGTTTTGAAATTTTATTATTTATTTATTTATTTGAGACAGTCTTGCCTTGTTGCCCAGGCTGGAGTGCAGTAGCAAGATCATGGCTCACTGCAGCGTCAACCTCCTGTGTTCAAGTGATTCTCCCATCTCAGCCTCCCAAGTAGCTGGGACTACAGGTGTTGTGCCACCATGTCCAGCTAGTTTCTGTATTTTTAGCAGAGACAGCGTTTCGCCATGTTGTTCAGGCTGGTCTCAAGCTCCTGAGCTCAAACAGTCTACCCGCCTCGGCTTCTCATTGTGCTGGGATTACACGTGTGAGCCATCTGCCCTGGTCTTGCTGGAGTGTTTAAAGCAAATCCCTAATATCTTATTATTTCACACCCAAGTCCCTATTGTGGCATAGTTTTTTTTTTGTTTGTTTTGTTTTGTTTTGTTTTGAACAGCTCCTTGCTATATCATGGCATAGTTTTTAATTGAAAACTTCTTTAGGAAACATTTTATATTATACAAGGAGAACTAACACATGTTGATGGGGGAATAAACAAATAAGGAAAAAGACAATAAAAATAATCTGTGCCTCTACTGCCCAGATATAACCAGCGTTAAAATTTCATGTATCTTTTCATTTTTTTTTTTTTGATTATAAACATATAAAGCAAATTTTAGAGTGGAAAAAAACCTCTTGTGTTTTTATTTAAATGCCTACTGAATCCATCCTGCGGATGAACTGAGACTACTCAGCCCTCCCATCTGCCTGGATGCGAAAGATGCTTCTAAGTCTTTGCTTGAAGCTGGGCAGCTCTGAGCTGCTGGTGGCTTCGAGCTGTTTGTCTGGGTGGCAGGTGGTATCCTGCAGGGCCACGCCGTTGGGTTATAGGCTACAGCATCTGAAGATGTGTTGCCTCACAGTGAGCACGTGTGCCTGTCACCTGAGCATGGCAGCTCCTGCTCTATTGACCAGGCACTGACTCAGTTTCCCCTAAGCAGTGGTAGCTAAGATAATTTTTCTTTTGGAAAAGTTTCAGCTGTGGCAGGGAGTCCTGTGCACTTCCCAACGCCCCTGTTTTTGTTACCCTCCTAGGCTTGGAGAACCCCCTGCCTGAGCGTCCCCGGGAAAAAGAAGAACCAGTGGTTCGAGAGACGGGTGAGGTGGTCGACTGCCACCTCAGTGATATGCTGCAGCAGCTGCATAGTGTCAATGCCTCGAAGCCCTCAGAGCGTGGGCTGGTCAGGCAAGGTGGGTACTGTGGGCCCTGGGTAGGGCAGGATTGCTTGGGGCATCTGGAGAAGCCAGGAGTCTTGGCCAGCAAAGCACTGGTGACTTGTCCAGGCCCTGTCTCCATAGGACCATTGGTTTCCCCATTTCCTGACATCCGAGGTCCTGCATGCTGTGGCTCCTGCCTTCTTTTCTGATCCGTCTGTTACTCTAGCACCTTGATATGCCACCTTCATATGCTGTTTCTTTTGCTCAGTAAGTCCTGTTGTTTCTTCAAGACTCTTGAAATAACAGGCCCAGATGGGTTGCAACCTCGGGGCTTTCGACCCTGTGGCTCCCTGGCCCTGGCATGAAAGCAGACAGCACATGGCTCACACTGTGGCCTCCTTCAAGTGTCTGCTCCAGTGTCACCACTGTGAGCATCTCCCTGGCCCATCTGCTAGTGCTTCTCATCCCCCTTGCCTGCTGCATGGTTCTCCATAATACTTCTCACCCAACATAGTCCAACATATCCATCTTTGTTTAATGGATTTAAAATAAGGGATTTGTTGCATGCACTGAACATAACATTTTGATGTGTTTGCAACTGGCTTCTGTCTTCACAGTTTCTTTTTTTTGGCTGAGCACAGGGGGCTTTATTGATGGTACACGACAAGGTGGGGCTCCCTAGGCCCCTCCCTCTTCAAGGGGTCTGCATTGAAACTGTGAGGAGGGGCAGTTCAGTGTGGTGGGGGACTCTGTGGCAGGGACTCCCCAGCAGTGAGAGCCTCTCTTCCTCTCGTGCTCTCGCTGGGGCTGGTGGTCCAGGGGTCTTACTCCTTGGAGGCCATGTGGGACATGAGGTCCACCACCCTGTTGCTGTAGCCAAATTCATTGTCATACCAGGAAATGAGCTTGACAAAGTGGTCGTTGAGGGCAATGCCAGCCCCAGCATCAAAGGTGGAAGAATGGGTGTCGCTGTTGAAGTCAGAGGACACCACCTGGTGCTCAGTGTATCCCAGGATGCCCTTGAGGGGGCCCTCCGACGCCTGCTTCACCACCTTCTTGATGTCATCATATTTGGCAGGTTTTTCCAGACGGCAGGTCAGGTCCACCACTGACACGTTGGCAGTGGGGACACGGAAGGCCATGCCAGTGAGCTTCCCGTTCAGCTCAGGGATGACCTTGCCTACGGCATTGGCAGCTCCAGTAGAGGCAGGGATGATGTTCTGGAGAGCCCCACGGCCATCACGCCACGGTTTCCTGGAGGGTCCATCCACGGTCTTCTGGGAGGCAGTGATAGCGTGGACAGTGGTCATGAGTCCTTCCACGATACCAAAGTTGTCATGGATGACCTTGGCCAGGGGCGCTAAGCAGTTGGTGGTGCAGGAGGCATTGCTGATGATCTTGAGGCTGTTGTCATACTTCTCATGGTTCACGCCCATCACGAACATGGGGGCATCAGCAGAAGGGGCAGATATGATGACCCTTTTGGCTGCCCCCTGCAAGTGAGCCCCAGCCTTCTCCATGGTGGTGAAGACGCCAGTGGACTCCACCACGTACTCAGCACCAGCATCGCCCCACTTGATTTTGGAGGGATCTCGCTCCTGGAATATGGTGATGGGATTTCCATTGATAACAAGCTTGCCGTTCTCAGCCTTGACAGTGCCATGGAATTTGCCATGGGTGGAATCATACTGGAACATGTAGACCATGTAGTTGAGGTCAATGAAGGGATCATTGATGGCGACAATATCCACTTTACCAGAGTTAAAAGCAGCCCTGGTGACCAGGCGCCCAATACGACCAAATCCGTTAACTCCGACCTTCACCTTCCCCATGGTGTCTCAGGGATGTGGCTGCGCTGGCGATGGGAGACTAGATGCGGCTTTCCGGCGAACAGGAGGCGCAGAGAGCCCACAGTTTCTTAATGACTCCAAACTGGAAAGCTAGATAATGTCATCCTCTGACTCTTATCATGATAGAAGTCACTGACATTTTGCCCATACTTAATTTGATTAGTCTTTGTCCCTACAACCACAGTGTAAGCTCCGTGGAGGCTGGAGTTTTGTCTGTTGCTCACTGTACCTGTGACAGTGCCTGGCAGGCACAGTAGGCCTTCAATAAATGAATCGGTCAGTGGAATGAAGGAGTGAGTGGAACTTGGCATTCTGTGCTGAGATTTTCTGTGTAGATGTCTGTGCTGCTGCTTGTCTGAGCCTGTTAGCAGTAGAAGCCCTGCTTTGCTCTTCTCTGGGGCCCCAGGCCTCTCAACTCAGCCCAGGTGGGGTGCTCAGCAAGATTCCCTGTTCCCTGGTGTGGGCCACATGTGCGAACCAGAGGGGAAGAGGCTGGTCCTGACCAATTGTTTGTCTGTTTCTGTCTCAGAGGAGGCTGAGGATCCTGCCTGTATCCCCATCTTCTGGGTCAGCAAGTGGGTGGACTATTCGGACAAGTACGGCCTTGGTAGGTTTCTACTAGAACAGGTGGGTGACTCAGGTACAGCCAGGTGACCTTTCAGTTGTTACAGGCTCTGGCTTTTTTGGGCTCCTAGGTTCTCTTCTCAGTGCTCTTCTCTCCATCCCAGGCCTCCCAGTTCCAGCTCCCAGTGCTCTCCGACTCCCCTACTTTTTTTTTTT